TCCTCCTCACATGACTGCGAAATTTGATATATATTTCGTACGTCAACTTTTTGTTGAGAATTCCATTTGTTTGTGGTATAAAGTTGAAACTATTTCAAGGATTCAAAGCAAGGAAACTCGCTGACTTACACTGCGATTGACGATGACCGCATATAGCAACTTCAGTAAATTCTTTTAAACAAAGTAGTCTTTTGATTCAAATGCTATTAATATTGACCATGAGATGCCCAAAGACATACTTGACATGGAATATTTCTTACAATCGCGCAAGTTTAGCTTGACCCCACACAATGTATGAAAGCTCAGTACATGTAGTCGTACACTCCCCCCCGTGAGCGGGAGGGGGGGGAGGACGGCTATACGTAAGCTATATGCAGACCTATGTAGCTGTCAACAGGCATGTGTTTAGATGATGGACAGTGTGTCAGAAGAGTAGGTGACCCTCATTATGACTTCAACCAATCCTGAAGTTTTCTTGAAGGCTGTGGGGAAGAGCGTGACTTGGAGGAAAATTTTCTTTGAGGTCTGACATCAAATCCGTTATTTCTTGTGTGCAGAATTCTAATTAATTCTGTATTTGTTCTTTTTCAGCCAGAGTCTCTGGATGTCTTGCCCATAATATGAGGAATATTTTATCAGGGAAATTTTTCCTTGTAACTCCATTCCATTCAAGCCCAGGCTGTTTCAAAGTCAAAAGTCGTCTGATGATTTATGCAAATTGTATGCCATTTTCTTGGCATGATTTAAAAAACGTGGAGTTTTGAAGGCAAAATATTTTTTCTGCAAAGCTTATTTTGTCCTCTTTCAAATGAGATATAGCACTACTCACTAGTGTAAATACTATTGACATAAAAAATAGAGGAAAAAAGGTTGTCGTCACTCGCCATTTTTTTATGTGTGCAATAAAGAGTTAAAAGATTCAGGTATTGTATCGATTACTTTTCCGCTGAGCCAAATGTTTATTTGTCCAAACTTAAAGAACATAAAATTGACCCATGTGATAAATATTCTACTTACTGTGGATGCTGATACATTAAATAATTGAGCTAGATGGTCCTCTGGGAATCCTTGCCTTAGTCTACACATGACTATAAAAAATTCATCAAGATTCATCATCCTTAAAGATCTAGCCCCCCCTTTTTGTAAGTAGTCTGCCCTCACTGTAATCAGACCCAGATATGTTGTCAGTTTTTGACCACCAGTAGGAAATGATAAAGATACTCAACTTTTAAGCTACAATCTGGTAGATCTGGGACCATTTCGTTTGGTGATTCGTTTGACGATTCACTTGATAATTCTTCAAGAACAACAGTGGGGTAGACAATTTTCGTGATGCACTTTTCGAAGCTGTCAGTTCGAAGTTTCTTTCCGCCAGCTCCTTTCCTTTGCGTGGCGATGTTCGAATCCATGAAAACACAAAAGGGACAACTCCATCTCTTAATTCATTTTTGACCACGAGATATTTCTAATATAACCCTTCCTGAAATGCTGGGAGCATATCTTTGTATTTTCAGTTACCTTGAAGTGCTTTCTTTCGTCTCTTCTTATCGCGTGGAGGCATTTCTTCTTAACGGGTTCTCGGTCGGAAATTAAAAATAAGACACTTTTTTCCCATCGTCCTTCCGGTAGAATTTCTTCGTACATTCTGGAACACAACAATGAGTCGGCATTTCCTCTTCTTGTAAATAATTCGACCGAATCGAGTCAAAACAGATCACCTATTCAACCTTAATTGACCTTTTGTTTACAGTGTTGTCCTCAAGCGTGGCCTTTCTGACCTTGGTTTCATGTTTAAATAATTACCAGTCTCGCGCGCCGCGGCCATTATGAAAATCGTGTATATAAAGCTTTGAGTCGTTGTAATCTGTCAGGCACTTTCGCGTGCTGTCAAACGCACGGCACGCACACAAGTATCTTTTTGTGCCCGAAAAAATCCTTGTCACCGTGAAATTAAGTTTCCTATTTTTATTGGCCTCGAGTTTATTGCATCCATCTTTTAATTTTGAAATTCTTTCCGTCGTAGAAACAGATGGAATATCTAAGTAGTTTCCGTTTAACTTCAGAGACTTTTTCCGCTCCCTTACGTCCTTATTCAAATGTTGCGATTTGTGTAACAATAGCACCTCACACCAATTAGTCAAGTAAATTACCTTTTACCGGGCAAACACTTGAACAACAACAAAGGAACATTCCTGGAATTAAACAGTGCACGAATGAAAAAAAAAAAACCTGGAAAAGTTCTGAAGTTGTTGTATCAACTTGTACACTAAAATTATTTTCGAAACTAGACGATTGATATTTTAAGCTCATTCGCGGGCCTGACCTTGTCGCGGTCAAATCCTCAAAGTCTCTAATTTTTTGGCAGCAGATATTTCTTAAAAGGCCAAGAATTTTTTTGCAGAAGAACTCTCAACAGCTGCTATAATTAGAAACTCTTGCTTCTCTATTGTTCTTTCGTTAATCTTTTATCATCAAATTTGAACTTGACTAGAAAAATTAGTAAATCCCTAAAGCAGTGCTCTTTAAGATATGTCGAGAGAGTTCTTTCGGTGTCCGGTTTATGAAAATTAATCCTGTTTTTATTCAAAGGACAAACACTCTGAAAAAAGACAGTTAAGGAGTATATAATGAGCTTTTCGGAATGGCTTCACCCGCTAAAAGGACATCGTTAACAGACTTTAACACGCTACTAGTTGATAGCATAATATTTTTTAGCATTCGTCGTTTTATTGAACTGGACCAACGAAACGCAAATTGCCACATCCCTTTTCTCGACTCCTTTTGAATTTGTGACGCCATCCACCTAAGTTATTTTTCCGTTATTAATCTTGGTAGTTTACATGTGACATTATATTTATCTCTAATTAAGTGGGATTAGACCAGATTACTGTATACTTATTGTAGAAAAGCCCATAATTCGGCTTGAATAATTAGATACAGTCGTCGACTTTTCCAGCCATCTCGCTCTTTCATCTTTAGAATACGTTCTTAAAATCTTTGTCGGTAAATATCCGATTGCTGCTTTAATTCTTGAAGAAGATGTTTGCTTTTTAGCAGTTTTCAGTTTTTGGAGACACGATTCGTACCTAAAAAGGATATGTCAAACTTGTATGGATTTATGGGCTGACTAAATTACCTGACATTATGCTTTCTCTATTAATGTTGTCTGATATGGTTTCCTTTTTGAAATTTTTTCTTATATCCGAGATCAAGACACCAACAGTTCTATTAATAGTAAAGCTCTATATGTTTTCAGTATGAGCTAGTGCTAACTTAATCCCCCACCCTCCCCTCCCTCTCAAATTCTCAGTCTCTCATTCATCCCTTTGTTGACCTCCTCTGTCTACATATTGTCCTCAGTTGTTGATTATCAAAACCATTCTCTGCTTCAATTTGTCCAAGCCATAACAGAAACAGTCAATCTTCCTAGCCTAAGATAAACTCTCATCAAGTGACGATGCCATAATTTCATCGCAATAGTTATTGATGAAATAAACTTCTTCCAGGAGAAGATCTTCTTTCTTGGCGGATAAACTCACGAAAAATGGAAAGTTGATACAACTGTCGTGATATGAAGTCGCGCGATTTTCACCCACCCTGGTACAAACTGAACAGACTAGAAATTCCTCTACCATATATATGAAATGATATCAAGAAATTAGAATAGAAAAAAGAAATGACAAGCGAACCCCCTCTTAGAAAACGTCTTCTTCTGCAGCCTCCCCCCACGTAGCTCAAGCCCTATGAATACACGAGTGGAACTTTTCCAATGACGAATGACTGAACTCAAAACACAAGTTGTGATATATTGGTAGAGAGGTAGACCCTACCTTATCCCCTAGAACACCTCACATACACTTACACTCTCCATTATGTCATGTTTCTTCGCCTACCTTTTTGATTAGCATTGTCTGCCACTATAGCACAACTCAGACGTTTTCAGTACCCCACCACAACATAGATAGCTGTATCACAAAAATATTCTCCATCCCTGATGACGCCGTGGGTCTGCGACAGCGTGGAAGCTTATTTTTAATACAGTAACTCAAGGCCTCACTTGAAACCATTACACTATTAACAATTAGATGATAAGCTGACAGAATTATACACGTAATTTTTATAAGTTCTTACCGATAATTTTCTGGAGAACAGACGCAGAGGTGAAAATGGTGGTGGATATTTTTTGCCCTATATGATAAAAAAGCAAAATGTCGTTAATGATGACGTCATCTATGCGTCTGTCCTCCAACAGATCAGCGGTAAAAACCAATTAAATGCGTGTAGCATTCAGCTCACCATGTGATTTTAAAATGCTACTGAAAGACAACATGCAACGGTTACTGTAAATATATTCCTGTAAGTAAGTAAGTAAGCGATTTTATTTAACCAGGGCAGCCCATTAAGCAACGAGGCTGGTATCCATAGGGGCCCTTGGGAATAAAGATATGTGCAATTTATTAAAATCTGAAAAATAAGTACAATTTAAAAATTTCAAATTAGAGTAAAAATTATAAAAATTCTAAAGAAAATTTAAAAGGCTAAAATATACAATTGTGATAAAATGTTTATAGATTTCCAGAGGATAAAAATTACAAATAAAAATATTTAATTATCAAACTTTTAAAATTACTCAAGGAGGGGCACTCTGGTAATGGTTACCTTCGTACTATGTTGTATTATTCTGAAATTCTTGTTCTTTGTGTAGGCTAAGCTATTGTATATACTACAAGGTGCAGTTCAAGCATCCGCACTGTAGAAATACCTGGGCAGAAAAGCTTGACCCACAGACCCCAATTTGTGTTGAGTGTCAAAACGATGCCATGAACAAGCAAGGAAAGTGTAAGGGCCAAGGGCATCTTGGGGATATGACGTTGTGGGAAGCAGTCGGCCTCAAAAGCTGTTACGGTGGCTGGCTGAAGATTGGGCCAAAGATTCCCAATTGTGCGTGTGAAGATAAACAATTCAACAATTTTTTATTTACATAAAAGCACTAGCAGTATTTAGCTCATATAATCAACAGCTTGCTTCATAAGGTTGTTACCGGTGTCCGCGATTATAATGTTATTAGTCTCGTGTATTGTTATTCCGCTTGGGTAATCAAACTCTCCCTGTTTATTACCTTTCCTACCAAACGACCGTAGGTAGGTTCCATCACCACTGAATACCTGAACCTTGCGGTCACCAGTATCAGTCACTGTAATTTCATCGTGTTCATTCACTGTTACTCCCCTGGGTAGTTTTAATATTCCAGCAGACGAACCGTATTGTCCAAAAGATAGCACGGGTCTGAACTTTCTGGGTTTCACTTGAACCGGAAATGGACTGCCTTGAACTTGTTCTTCGTTCACTTTGACTACCACCTCACATCTTCCACTTTCTTTGGCGAAATAGCTGATCTTGTAGCTTTTATCTTTCTTATCTTGGACTCGAACTTCTGTTGCACAGTCATGGCGTTGGTGATTTTTTATTTTTGCTGTTACTCGGTCACGCTTTTCGTAGCATTGTTGTCCTTCAACATTTCTTGTTATCAAAACAAAGTTCGCTTGAATTCCAACAATCGTCTCAGCGAGTCCTTTTCCTTCAGCAATCGATTGATACCCTCTGGTCACGTTGAGAAACGTTTTAATGAAGCCGATTCCTTCATCGTTTGTTTTTTTCTTTAAGGATTCGTTTTCCTCGAAAATAAATTGATGTAGTCCTTCAAGGTCACGGTCCACTTCTCGCTCATCATCGACTTCTTTCGGGATTATTGTGCTCAGTGTGTTATCTATCTCCGTATGCTCAGCGTTCGTGCTTCGTTTTAATAGCGTTTCAGATTTTCCTACTGCTGTTTCGATGTTTTTGACCTTGTTTTCAATGTCGATCCTTTGTACTCGCAAACGTTGCAAAGATTGTTGCGCCTCATGATCCGCTTCAGTAAAGATGTGCTGTTTCTTGGCTTTGATGACAGCAATCATGCTTTCAGCAAACTGTTGCGCGCTTCTTTTTACTTTTGCGATGTTTGCTTCGATGTTATGACAGCTCTCTGTTTTTACTGTACTGCTTTACAGTCGGAAAGCTTTTAAACTCTCTTCTTTTTTTCTTGTTCATCAAAAATTACTGTACAGCAAAGCATGTGACAACATTTATTGACACATTTCTACCTTTCGATAACTCTTTATCTTTGATGTAGCGTTACTTCGTGTTACATTTTTAAATATGATTATAGTAAGAACATATAGCAGCATTTTTGCAGCTTTTACATCGTTATTAACATGATATCAAAGGAAAATATTGAAATATGTTCAATGATTGATCAAAAAAAGATTATAAACGAGATGAATTTAAAAACTACACTAAAGTTGATGGAGATTCTCTGAAATTTGCAACTTCGCAGGTTGAAGGTTTTGTCGAAGTTTCGATGACCAGTGAGAAGATTCTTGAGGATGATAAAAATCACCAGCCAACAGCAGTTACATGCATGAACGTTTGATGAATTAGTTTCAAATATGGTTTGTCAAAGTGATGTTGTCTACTCAGATATGTGAATGGTTCAAATAGTCAGAACGTGATTAGATATCACTAGCCCGATTTGAGAACGAATTATGATCGAATGATTTGATCATAATTTCGCCGGGATGAAACGTTCATTTGAGCGCGACGCTGTCACACTTTTCGCCGAGTTGGGGGTTGTTTTTGATGAAAACGTTTGTTACTCGAATTTAATTTCTCATGGTGTTAATGAATTGTTGACAGGACTTCGAGTCGTCCAATTCCGTTGTTAATCATGTTCGTAATTAAGTCGTCCGATTTTGTTCATTACGAGTATGATACCGAACCGACTTGGACTCCACTCAGTCCTTTAACCAGTAATAAGCAGATACGTTTTAAACGAGGGCGAGGACCGGAAGAAGAATGCAACTTTTTTGGCGAATTTGCACATCTACCAATTTACTGGAATTTACTTTAATATAAAATCTTTAGGTAAAAGTTAAAAGGTTCAGCAGGAAACGCAAGAGAGACGAACAATCATTTTTGGAGCTTTCGTCTCCGCCTTAAAAGTGGAATGATGGACGAATGGGGGATTAGTCGAAGCTAACAGAGTATAAAAGGGGACTAAAGAAAATCGACTGCCGATTAACTTCCCTCAGGGAGGAGAGGGACCATAAGAATATTACAGAGCCTTATTTATCGTGACACAAAATTCTTCCCCTCCCCCTCCTTCCTTAGGGTTGAATAGTGAAGTCTTCTCTCGCAAGCTATCAATCTTGTTTTTCCCTCTAATTCCTCTAATTCCCTCTTCCCATTTTTCTTGCTCTCTTCTCCTTTTCTTTGCCCTCCTTTGCATTGCCTCCGTTAGCTCTATTCCATTCTTAATCCTGCTCTCCTTTTCTGGTTCCATCTCCCACCCCTATCTGGCCCCTTTCTGTAGAGCTTTCTCCCATTCACCCTCTCTCAGTCCGTACATCTTTACCTCGTCATTCTTGTTCTTCTCACTTCGTTTCCCCTCCACTTTTACCTCTATTCTATCCATCCCTTCCTCCATCCCCTCCTAGCGCCTACCCCCACTTCCCTTCAACCTTTGGGTTTGTTTTTCTTACCTCAATCGATTATTATTTGTTGTGAGGTACGTATAGGTAACGTGTCAGAGACTTATTTTTTTCAAATTACAACAACATGGTAATTATTGTACGACGAATCTGCTTCTTAGTTTTCGTCGTGTGAGTTTTTCACAAATATCAATTTTTAGTGAGGAGGGAGGGGTACCAGCAGCCATGGTTGCCAGTTCCTACATACTTGGTTGCGAAACTGACTTCGGCATTTTCGTACGTCAGATCAGAACAAAACGGAACTGTGACCTGTGGCAGCGAACAATCCATCAAAATTGCTTCTTATGGCCGTCATCCTTTTCTTTTTTAAGGATTCCACTTGTGTTTGGTATGGAAATTAAATCGCCACCTAAGAGAATACAGAGCAAAAAACTCGAAGATCATTATTTGTTTTTCAATTTTCACTTTGACTACCGGTTTTAACAAGATATCTCGACTTCTTTTGTTCTGAAATCGTGGAGGAGGTTTTCCCTCGTGGAAGGTGAGTCATTATAAAGCTTAGGAAACATAAAAATCAAGTTGCTATATAAGTTGCTTACAAGTTGAAAGGTAAACTTTTAGCTTAACCCATTTGCCGACAAAAACAATGCGTGTTCTCTCAGTGGGGTTTATGAATGTGTACATATTCATTTAAAATATTGTTCTCCGGTTTACGTTAGCTTTCACTAGTAAGTGTGATGTTTTACTTTGTAAAATACACTTTTTATCGAGAGATATGATGGCAAATATACCGCGATTAAATGTTAGAATTATCGCTAAGGATTCAAGTGTCCCTGTCTTAGAAAGTGTTCCAGGGGCCAAACGTGGTGCTCAACCGATTCGGCTGAAACAAAAGTTGGGTGTGAAACAAAAGTTGGGTGTGATAAGATATTTCAAAAGCCACTTTGGCTCACTTCTCTGACTGTTTGTTCAGGAGTTTCAGGGGTAGAGCACTACAATTCAGCCCTCTAGGTGGCATTTCGAAAGTGCTATAAAACTCCATTGGTAAATTGTGCTGCCGGATGAATCTGACCATGGACTCTACTATAGTGGAGTTTCTACTTCATAAAAATTACTTTGTTCTCAAGTGATTAGACAGAGAAGAGCCTGGGGCTAAAGTAAGGTCAAATTTGAGATCAAAATCACCACTCAAAATTGTCGTTTTTCGAAAAAACCATTACATTCACCCGCCTTCTTGCATAACTTTCGTACTAAATCCAATTTTCACTTTAGTGACCCATTTATCAAACTCAGTTGAGAAAAATTTGGCTCATTAAGGTTTGTTAGTTTTTTTGGCACAAACTCTCCATGCCCCTCTATGGCCTAGCAAAATGGAATTTTGAGCATAATGCCAACAAGAAGGATGAATTTTTTGGTGCTTCATAAGCCAGAAATGGGACCCCCCTCAAACTCCGGAACAAACAGTCAAAAATGTAAGCCAAAGTGGCTTTTGAAATAACTTACCACACTCAACTTTTGTGCCAGGTTTTAGCCAAAGTGGTTTCCCACGACTTTTGGGCCCCTGGAACACTTTTTCATCCAGGGACACTTAAAGCCTTATTTGGATAAGGTGTCCTGGCAAAATCAATTATACTTACAGTTTCACAAGATACATTTGAAAAACAATTGTCATTTAACATCAGTAACATTTTTTAGCATGGAGAATTGTTCTGATAACTTCCAATTTTTCTTTGGGGATTACACTGGTTTTCATGATCCCATGAACAGAGTTGCCAACAATATGTTGGGAAGAGATGATCTGGGATACCTAGTTGGATTCCTTGTTTAAGTTCTCAGTTGGTAAGGGTAGACAAATAAATATCTGAGTATATTTTTGTGCCAAATCAAGGCTATTGTTTATCTAGATGTTATGAGTTGTGCCATATTTTGACAAGCCCACATGGCTCGTCAAAATACAAATAACTAGTAAATACTCAGTTAAGCTACACACCAAATCATCAATAGGTTATTTATTATCCAACAACTCTTTTATGCTTTTTTTTTATAAAGTGGGAGATGCTGCAAAATGTAATGCAATGAAATCCTTGCAAGCAATGGCAAAACCTGTCAAACAGGTTGGCTATTAACTGTCCAAATACTGTGTAATACATATTAATACTCTGTCAGTCATTCTTTGTACTCTATTTAGTGTAGTTGGATTATAAGCCAATCATAAATTATTTTTCAGAAGTGAATAAATGTACACATGAGTTAACTAAACTGTTAATTTCTCTTAATAATTGTGACCAACAGAATGTGTAAAATTTGCAACGTGGCTTAAAAATTTTTTGAGATTTTTTTTTGTTTGCTAGAACACTTGGTCTTAGCTTTCCGGATTACCGAAAGGAAATGATAAAGAACATCGAACGACGAGGCTTTAAAGTTATCGGCAATAGTTCTTTTAATCCCCCATCCGTGAACAATTTGATCAAGTGTAAAAGCTGTCTGTTTGTTTTCGACTGTCTCCTGAATAATGTTTGCACACCCTTTAAGAACTACTTCGAAAGGCTGGTTCATTCTAAGGCCACTAGGAATAACGGTATATCAGTGAAATTACCCAAAGTTCGTTTAGAATTTGGTAAAAAGAGCTTCTATTACCAAGGAGCAAAGACTTTCAACAACCTGCCTGCTGAACTAAGGTCGTTAGATTCGAGACTGAAATTTAAGAACAAATTGCGAGATTATTTTAGTTAAATTCTATCTAAACGTGGTTATAGGTATCCTTTTCAGAGTATTTTTATTTAATTTTTAATTTTTTTTTTTTCATTTTATTGTATGCTTTTCTAGACCTTAAGATCAATGATTATATCTTGTTAAATTTTATTTTATTTATTTATTTATTATTTTTGACAGGACCCCAAGGACAACAGTGTTACACACTGATGGGTTTTTCAATCCTGTATAAAAATTCGTTATTATTATTATTATTATTATTATACAATTCCATCAATGACTGTTTTTTTTTGTTTTCAATATTAAATAAAATGGCAGGTCTAGCAGAGTATGTGCATTAAGTTTTGTAGCCTTAATGTTGAAAGTGTAGTTCATAGTCTTCTTTATCTTTTGATTTAATTGTCACATGAATCCAAAGTTTTGATGCAAAATAAATATAAACTACCCTTGCGAAATGGCTTTTGGAATTCCTAGGAATTCCTAGGATTTTCCTAGGAATTCCTAGGAATAAAGGTGTGAATTTTCACGGTAAATTCGGACTGGGAATTCCTAGGAATTCCTAGGAATTCCCAACCATAACAACTGTGGTTCTAAAAACCTAGAAATTCCTAGAAATTCCCAGAAATTCCCAGAAATTCCAAGTTTATAGCCAACAGGACTTGGAATTCCTAGGAATTCCCAGGAATTCCTAGGAATTCCAACTCAGAGAACCAATG